GGGGGCACTGTATTGCAATGATTCTCCTCCTTTTTCTGAAAATATTTCCAGTCCAATTGCTGAGAGAGAGGGATTGAGTCTGAGACCCCTTCTTTGCAGGGTTCCTAAGTGCTGGATGCTCTTCCCACTCTATTTAACATCTATTTGAGACCTCTGGTTAAGGTCATCCACTGACATGGGATTAGGTATCATGAATATCCAGATGATATCCAACTATAGATCTTGACCCCTGTTGACCAAGTGATCCTGGTGAGGTTCTGTCTTGGTGGGGATGAACAGGCTCAAGTTCAACCTTAGCAAGACTGAGTGGCTGTGGATTCATAGGTCATCCTGTTTCTGGGGATCTTCCAACTCTAGTTCTTGATGGAGTTGCACTTCCCCAGATGGAACTGGTGTGCCATTGAAGGAACCTCCTGAATTCAAAGCTCTTCCTTAAAAGCAGATGGTAGCTGTGGCCAGGAGGGCCTTTCACAAATCCATGCTGTGTGCCAACTATGTCCTTTCTGTGGTTAGGATTTTCTACTCATGGTGACTCATACTTTAGTCACTTCATGGTTGGATTACATGAGGTTGCCCATGAAATCTAGTTGGAAGTTACAGTTGGTCCAGAATAAGCACACCTTGCTTTGTAAGCTGCACTGGTTGCTTCCGGGTGGAATTCAAGGTGCTGGTTGTCACTTTTAAAGACTTCTAATGGTTCAGGGTCTATGGGATCATCTCTCTCCTGTTATGTCTGCCACTCTTATGAGATCTAGTACAGCAAGCATGGTCCAGCTCCCTTTGTTAAAATTATTTTGTGGGATTTTGGAGATAAGATGAACTGCCCCATGCTGTTGTTAAAATGTGGCTCTTTCATTAGGCCCTAGGGCAGAACACTTTTTGACCCCTGTACTAATGCTGGGATTGGTACTTGTTGCTTTCTTCCCTGACATAGTAATACACTGTAAATTGTTTTTGTTGTTTACCATTGTTTTCTACTTATTATTTCAAAATGTTGTATATTGCCTATAGTTACTTGGATGGTTGAGCTCAGTAGGTCACGGGAACTAGCTTAGTAGGTCAAGGGAATGGACTGATAGTTGAATGACTGTACAGATAGTCCTCAGGTTACGACCATTTGTTCAGTGACAGTTCAAAGTTGTGACAGCACTGAATGAATGGTACTTACAATGGGTTCTGGCCATTGGAGTGTCCCCACTGTCATGTCATCATTTCTGATGTTTCCTGCCAGCTTCCCACATGCAAAGTCAATAGGGAGGCTGGCAGAGAAGTCGGAAGTCGCATTCATGTGAGGTCATTGCCTAATGACCGGTGTGGTCCTTACTTAACAATGGCAACTAGGACTGCTGGAATTGCTGTTGCTAAGTGATGTAGTCACATGACATTGCGCTTTACAACCACGTTCCTTAGTGATGGCAATTCTGGTCCCAATTGTCATCATAAGCCGAGGACTACCTATACTCTAAGAATGTTCCACTTTGGCTTGGGGAGAAGCGTCAAGTGGAATGCCCTAGGACTCTGTCCTGGAATCTAAGCTGTTCAACATTTTTATCAGTGATTTGGATGCAGGAGTTGAGGGGACACTTTTAAAATTTGCAGATGGTAATACTTTAGAGTAAAAAGAAGATATTAAAAAGATCTGGGCAGGCTTGGACAGTAGGCTGAAATAAATAGTATGGAATGTAATGGAGAACTGTGGAGTTCTGCATCTGGGTAGGAAAAAAGTAAGGCAAAAGTACAGGACAGCAATAATGCATGTAAAAGAGATTTGGGTGATCTTGCTGAACACAAGTTAAATAAGAGCCAGCAGTCTGATGCAACCTCTAAGAAGGCAACTGCTAACCTTGGCTGTATTAACAGGAATATACTGTCCAGAACACAGAAAAAATGGTTCTATTCTACTCTGGTCAGACTCCACTTGGAATAGTGTCCCATTTTGGGCACCTCCGTTCAGAGGATGGCTACTAAGATGGCGAAAGGTTTGAGAAACAAGTTGTATGAGGAAAAATTCAAGGATCTGGGTAAGATATGCTAGCAGGCTTCAAATATCTGAAGAGTTGTCACACAGGAATGGACTTCTCTGTTGCCCAAGAATCAACTGGTTAAAAGTACTAGACAAGACATGAGAAATGACTTCCTGATTTTATGAGCTGTCAGCCAGTGGAAAGGGTGTTATATGAAGTGATGAGTTCTTTTTCCCTGGAAGTCTTCAAACAGAGGTTGGATAGTTATCTGACAGAGATGCAACACACTGAACTGAGGGCTGGATTTGATGATCTCTAAGATTCCTTCCAAGTTAATCATGATTGACTTGAAGAGTAGTATATTAAATCATAGAAAGTGCATTTTAGGTAACAAAAGTGTAAAATGCTTTGCAAGTTAAAACAATGTTGAGTAATGTTAAGGAATATCCTCTTTTCTGTATTAAATGCTTTTTGCTTGGAACTTCCATCTCCATTACTTTCAGCACTTGGAAGAAGAATCGGTTTCTTTCTGCTGCCCTTCTTTTCCTGCATTTGCCTGGCAATAGCTTTGCTTGCCTTCATCTCTTGCCCACTTCCTATATTTTTTAACAAAAAAAAAAAAAAAACACACAACCCCAAAACACTAAGCTTTTTCACTCAGTTCCATATGATCACACACACATAAAAAGAGCAGTGAAATAATTAGTAATATGCTGGAACAGCCCATGTGGCTTCACAATGAATAGAAAAGATTGTCCCAATGACATTGTACTGTTGACTAGAATTATTAAAAAAAAAACCCTCCATCATTGGAAGCGATTTAGTCTTTTTAGTCCATTCTCAGATAAGTGGCCAAAAGTTTTATGCAAAACAATGAATGTATTGTTCTTCCAATCCCTACTTCTAATCTGTCATTGTCTGTAGATGTGTCTGTGTATATCTGCAGTGTACAATGCTGAGCATTAATCTAGCTAGCATAAAGGCTAATTATGTGAGCAGTGAGGTCCTTCCCTCTACCACAAATTCCTTTGGTTGTTCTAGACATTGGCAATGTGGTATATGTTACAAGGATTTGGCTGTTTTATCTGGTCTTGGAAGATCACAGGGATCTTCCATCTAACAAATATGCTGATATAATAATATGCATTAAGTAATACCTTCACTTTATATAGCTACAGGACATGCTATTACAAATGTTGTATTGCTTTTATTTGTTAGGAACCTGCCTTGTGTGAAATTAATTGCTTCTATTCCAAGCCAATTTATCCCATTCCACATTTTTCTTTCTTTCTCCCTCTTTTCCCCCTCTTCTCTATATATGGGGGGGAGGGCGGGGGAGAGGGAGAAGAATCCCATGCCACATACTTTGGCCTTCAGGAAACGAAAGAACACCTACACATGTGTAACCAATACACAGCTCAGCTCATCTGCAGAAATAAGAAATCAGGTCAAGCCAAAAGGTTTTCACACTTTTTATTGTAAAGCTTTGGGAGGGCTAATTACAGTGGAGTTTATCTTCTGACAGCTCAGCAAACCAACAGAATGGAAGAGAACAAAACGGGCTCACGAGGTGTCATGCTCACGGCTCCAAACAAAAAGGATTACAAGGGAATCAATTGTGCTCACAGTGCCAGGGGAGAACTAAGCCCTAGGCCCAAAGCTTTCCCAGTGCAAGGGAAATGCATCACATTGAGAGCAATACAACCTTAGCAAGAGAGAAAGAGGCAGTACCTAAACAAAGGTCACAATTCAAAAATAGTTGGGTACTCTTTACTCTGCCATAGGATTTCTCCGTTTAGAAAAAGCTACACCTGCATGTACATAAAACTGTACAAAAAAACAAGGCATCACAAGCAAGAACTGAAATCTCGTATAAATAGAATCAACACGAAGAGCTACAAAGGGGTTGCTTGGTTCCATCTCACTCAACTGACCTGTGTCTGGCCTTCCACCTTTGGTATTACCCCAGGCTTGTCCTAAAGCAGTGCTCAAAATTCTTTCCCTTGCCCTTGAATGTGCTTGTCTAGACCAGGACTCATGGAACACTCTTCTTCCTACCCATTTCCATCTCTTTTCCTATGCATGTAGGATCTTTCCTGGTTTGAAATTGTGCAGTTGAGCTTCTCCTAGTGGTATCTTGACCACTGGATTGTTCCATCACTTCTACTCCTGAGGCATCTTTATACTCAGAGCAACTTCAGTGTTCCTTATCAAGGCTCTATTTCAATGGTACTACTGCTGCCATCTTCTCTTTTGCCTCACACAAAGGAAGTTTCAAAGTCTTGGTTGAGTTTAGGAGGCCAGGTAATATAGTTTTTCTTTCCCTTTCCCTGAACAGCCAGTCCTTTTTATTTCATATTTCTGGCAAAACCAAAGGAAAAGAGTTGAAGAGCTCTCCACATTCAAGTCATCAGCCTTGGCTTATTACAGAAGAAAAAGCATATTTATTCCAATGGGCCTATAGCAAGTATATCCACATACAGAAGCAGTTTTGGGATGAGGTCAGTTTTATAACTCCCATCTGCAAGGGATGGACTAGAAATTAGGTTGCCTCCTATTCTATTTTGACTAAGTGAGCCCAAGCCTATGGATAGGCCTATTTTAAGGACCTAATCAAAAGAGGATAACCTTACCTGAGCAACACAGGTATTCCTTCATCAGTGATTTTGGCTCCCACCTATTCCTTTCACAGTGGGAATGTATAG